CTTGTTTTTAATTAGCATACTCTCTTTCAATGGTAGTCCAAATCTCCCTTGGGCTTTTCAAATTTGAGAAGAGATCATACACTGAATCCGAAAGATTGTTGAGGATATGACCATGACAGATAATCTCGTTCTCTTCACGCTTTGCACGCTTCTTCTTGATCTCCTTAGACTCTCTTTCCGCAGGCGGGGGAATCTCCTCCAAATTTGGGCTTGAAATATAAGCCACCTTCAAAGCCGTAAGAAAGAACATCAACTTGTCCTTCCAACAGTTAAAGTTAGTGGCAAATCCATCAAGACGATCCAACTTCACAAAATCTTGGTTCATCACTTTCATAGCAGACTCTTGTACTCTATAACAAATATTGTCTTAAGATTGAAAGAATAGTAGGAGTACTGTAAAAGAGAAAATACAAGAGACACCAAAGAACAAGACGAAGAAAGATGAACTTTATTTATAGAAGTTTGTATGTGACAATAAAGGGGGAATCACAAGGATCTTGATGTACTCTAAGCGTGTAATCACTGTCCTTAAGACAATATTTGCCCCACTATGTTGCAAAACCGGGTTTGATTGGCAATTTGTCTCTAGGATACAAAAAGCACAAGAATATGCAATTTTGCAATTATTGAATGTTCTTTTCAAAATTTAGGAATGCAAAAAGACTTGCCCAAAATCTGCAATAGTATACCTATTTATAGGCAAATACTAGGAAATGAAAGAATACAAATCAAGACTTATACCCCTTAAATTCCAAGTCACCAACGTAACATTTCATGAATACTGATCACGTTTCATATTCTTTCAATTCCTTGACACCATTTAGAAGGTTCCAGAAATATTGAACCAATTTTGGGTTGCAACTTTTGGTTTCGGTTTTATTTCACAAACTAAAAACCCAAGAGTGCTAAGAACAAAAAATGTACCTTTCTGTTGGTTTGGATACAATCAACAATAAATCCACTGGAATAAAACTAGTGGTTAAAATTGGAGGTTATTAATGTTGATATGGGATGTGTCTACTCAAAGTGCATGAGCGTGTTCTGTATGTAAGAAGACGCTGGCTTGAAGGAATCAAATTCAGCATTGGTTGTTGTTTGATGAATCGAGCTCTAGCAAGCCGCCAATTTAATAATCTTTTTGTCTCACGAAAATTTTTCACATTATTAATGTGGGCTATTTTTATGAGATAGAGGGAGTAGATGTCTGTTGACGTGAATCCATGAGCTCTTTCTAGGTATAGGTATACATATAATATGTATATATAGTCACAAATCTATTTTTGGCTGGAGACCTGGCGAGCTTGTCGAGGCACCCAAAATTAATCCGGTATTCCTACCAAACTACAAAATTTACAGTAATAGCAGTACCAAGTCGAAATCCCAAAGGAGCTAGTTTCTTAGCTCTTAGTTTGACAATGTCCAAAAAGATTTTCTTGTTTGATTACTAACTACATAGATTAAAAGAAAATTTAAAACTTCTTTTGAAAACCAAATATAAATAGACAAGGAGAGAATTCAATATCACAAAAATTCTGACTCAAGGGACGGATCATCCAATTATTTCACAGATCATCGGTTTCAAAAAGTATTCCTGAAATTCGAGTATTCACGCTAAGACATACTAGGATAGCCGTAGTAAATCTATAATCTCCCTAAATCAATTGACCAAACCTAGCATTCACTCAACATTTATCGTAAACCGCTGGACACGATAACGTTTCATGAAAATAAATGATAGCAATAAACTCTATGGAAATATACTTGAATCACAGTATAATCATTGAGATAATTGCAATAATTTAACCTATGGTTTGTTAATCCTACTACCAGACATACAAAAGCATCCAAAGTCTCACTAATGCACAAGACCTGCCTAGTTGATACTAAATTCCAACGGTTCATATCAATTAGGTAATATGCAACCAAGGATAGCAGTAAAAAAGAAATACAAAACCAAGTTATCAATTTAATTGATATTCACTTTTATAAAATTAAAACGAGAAATAACAAACAACTCAAATCATAGACAAAATTAAATTTAAACCAAACCCTCACATATAAAATAATTGGGTTAAATCCCCTGAATCAGAAATAAAAAATTTAGGTACTCATGGAAATAGACATAATAGCTAGATTATTCATAAAACCAATAGTATCAAGTCTAGAAGAATAAATCTTCGAAGAAAACCAAATGTCGGCTAACCTCCAAGCTTGAACTGTTGCGTGCGTACAAGGAAAAGAAAGAAAAGCGTGGCTTCTGTTCGTATGAAAAAAACGGTGGCCAAAAACAAACTCACGGCTGCCATATATATAATGTAATTAGGTCAGCCGCAATTTAATAAAAAGTTAGGCGAAAATTGTAGCTTTGATCCTTCTACTTCCAAGCTCCTCTCAAATTGGCCCAAAGCTTCTTTAATGTTGAGTTTAGTCCCATAGTTTCTTGACTTCCAGCTTTTGCTTAGCAACTTTCATGCTTTGTAATTAGGTCCTCCAATGTAGTAAACTTTCTTCCTATTGCTCAACTTGATAATTGTGATTTTTTTATAGCAATTCGTCCAAGAAAGTTGTAAACTGCGATCTTCAGCACCTAACACAAAATATTAACAAAATCCAATGAATTAAAACCATCCAAGTCCATAAACTCATAAAATAACTACATTTAAAGCATCAATTATGGACTCTATCAAGACCTTTTGATTCGGTATTTCAAACTTAATTATTATGTGAACTGAGCTATATATCTAGTCGTACATTGGTGTAATTTTTAATTTGAGGGATGTGTCTACCAAATGCGAATCTAAAACCCTTTCAAACTATTTTGTATGTACTCGAACTATGAGAATACAACAAGGATGCATTAATATGGTGTAAGAATTATACGGGCCTGGAGTTTTGAAGCTGGAAATTGAAGACGCCTTTCCGACCAAAATTTTTCGGTTTTTCTTCACTCTATCTTAATATGTTTACTTTTGCTGGAATATTACAACGGATCTCGATCAATTAAATCAAATTCTTCTTTGTTAGAGGGAACGTAGTAGTTCTTTTTTTTTTTTCAAAATTATTATTATCTTATGTATGACACTCTTTCTGTCTCAAAATAATGATCCATTGTTAAATTTTTATTTTCAGTATAATTAGTTTTAAATATAAAAATCTAAATTAGATAATCATTTCAGAATGGAAAAAAGTACATGACAATTAGTTCAAAACGAATAGAATACACAATGATGCTGCCTTCGTGAGGTGATGCAAGAAACTTTAGCGTAATAGTCATATCCTCATCAACTCCTCCTTTTTGGCCTTAATGGGATAGAGCGAAAATTCCCGGTGGAATGGCCAGGAAAAAAAAAAAAAGAAAAAAAAAAGTCGTGCATAGCAAATATCCCAAATCACTTGAAGTCAGCAGATTTTCCCCTTTGTTTGAAGTTCTAGAACTAATCCCGAGAAAACCACAATTTACAGTATCTATGTCTCTAAATCTCCACGTTTATTTACCAATCATTTTTTTGCCCTTTTACTAGATATACTTTATATCTTGGGGATCCATCTTTGCCATTGCCCAACTCATCTCCAAACAAATTCGTGAAGGGAGGCATTAATTGAAGGGGCTGAAGAAAAAGATTAGAGGTGAAAGTTTAAGTTAAACACAGACATGATCCAGAATACACCAGTTGAGATACTAATCCAAAATGGTCCCTACATGTGGATAATGATTTCTACTCTATTAATGGCTTTTGACCTTCTCCTACATTATGTACTCAACTTCAATAAAACACGTGATGGTTTATACTGAAGGAAAAAAAAAATTTATTGGATACAGTTGTTGTATTTTTATTTTTAGTGCAACAAGTATTACATCCTTTTATTTTGTTGTCAAAACTCTCATAGAAGTTATAATTTTCTCCCATAATTACTACTTTATCTTAGTTATTGTGTCTAACTGCACAACCATGCATGGTATAATTTTTTCAATTTTTACCACATCCAGCAATTCTTTCTTTTTTGGGCATCAACAAATGCGTAAGCCCCTGAATCAGACGATTACGGGAATGTGAGACCCTGATTCCGTCATGAGTCAATTATAACTTAAATCTATTTGGAGAAATGTTGTAGTCTAATGATTTTAGGTTTCAGCCTCTTTTTTTTTTTTTTTATAATAATAATAATAATAATAATAACAACAACCGTAACGGGTTGAGTCCGCTAATAAGTGAATTTTTCTAAGGCCGGGTCACCGTCCAAACCTCGTTAGTCATGTTACCTGTCGTCTGACATTTGGGGCGTAGGAAACAGGGACAACTTGTAATTCAGGACAAGAAACAACGGGCACATCACGTAAACCCGATAAAGATATAAAGAAGAAGTTTACTTCATTTCCTGGAGGTTGAAAAAATGGCAAAAAGACAAAAGAAGTTCCTTTCAAGTCCAATGTTATATCAGTTGGTTACGACCTGTCCCAATAACTAATAATTCTATGAAAAATTGACTTGTATTGTTCAAGTTTCAAACTACAACATATGGTTGTGGTATTCATATACAAGGAAATAATCTAAATGTGTAATTGTAATAATATTCAACACTTAATTACGCTTAACTAATTACTACAAAATATACTCGTATGAATTTTACATTCAATCCCATGATCTTGGGAGATTTAATCTTATCATCATATTAATGTAAATAAAGTATTCTGAATCATTTCACGTCTTTTCAAGTCTTTTCATATATCTCGTTATGGAAAATATCATACTGCAAATTTGGTCCCAGGACAGTAATAAGGATACAAAGCCGTCTAAAAAGCACATAGGATAATGAAAATGAGGTCACAAAAGTGTCACGTTTCAAGCAAAAAGAAAAGGTAATTCTTGTTTAAGTCTTCAAATATTGGGCTGTCAGCCGTCTTAGCCTGAGCTATTCACAGTTCATCATCCCACATTATCTATATATATAATTATCAAGTCAATGGAAAGCAGTCGAATTCCAAGTTCAGAGATAAGGAAATGGCGAAACTTAGAGTGAAAAAACGTAGTGTTGTTTTGATCCCATACACTTACCAAGGCCATGTAACACCCATGCTTCAGCTTGGGAAAATCCTTCATTCTAAAGGGTTCTCTGTCATTGTAGCTCACCCGGATTTCAATTCTCCAAATCCTTCAAATCACCCCGAATTCGTCTTCCTTCCATTGGAGGCCAATTTATCTGGTTTGGACACCTCAAATGATATCCTCGGAGTGATGTCGGCGATGAACCAGAGTTGCAAAGCTCCCCTGGTGGATTACTTGGTTCCAATGATCAAGGATCAAGAGAAGTATGGTCAAATAAGTTGTATTATCTATGATATTCTTATGGGCTTTGGGAACTCTGTGGCTGTTCAGTTAAAGATTCCCAGTCTGGTTCTAAGCACTTGTAGTGCATTTTACATGCAAACTTATCGCATCGTCTTGAAACTTCAGGCACAAAATCAGATCCCTTTGCGAGGTATATCCTTCCGTCCCGATATGATTGTCCAGTTTAAATTTTCATTTTTAGTTCCAATTGTACTTATTAAAGGGAAAATGCAAATAGGACAATTATTTTAGGACAAAGGGGTATATTTTAATGATTATCCATTTTTTTCAGTATCATTCCATTTTCTTGGTGACATATTTCTGATAATAAAAACTTGCTACTTTTCCACTTGCAGAGGAGAAGATGTTGGAGCCAGTCCCTGAGCTCCATGCACTTAGGTACAAGGATTTAGTCGCACCTGTTAATGTTAAAGTTGATGATGTAGTCATGGATTTCTTCACGGCAATGGCTAATATAGGGTCCTCTGTTGGCATCATTTGGAACACGGAAGAAGTTCTTGATCGCTTCGCATTGGAAGAATTCAGGCAAAGTTACAAAGTTCCATCTTTTGCCATAGGTCCATTTCACAAAATGGCTAATACCAATTCATCAACAAGTTACCTGGAAGAAGACAGAAATTGCATATCATGGCTGAACAAGCAAGCTCCTGATTCCGTCCTCTATGTAAGCTTTGGAAGTATGGCTGTAATGGAGAAGGAAGAACTGAAAGAGATAGCTTGGGGATTGGCGAATAGCGGGTTGCCATTTTTGTGGGTGATTCGGCCTGGATCAGTTAATGGTTCAGAATGGATTGAACTCTTGCCTGAAGGCTTTCAAGATGTAATAGGAGAAAGAGGTTACATTGTGAAATGGGCACCTCAGAAAGAGGTTCTTGCACATTCTGCTGTGGGAGGATTTCTGTCACATTGCGGTTGGAATTCGACACTGGAGAGTATATGTGAAGGGGTTCCATTGATCTGCAGACCACATTTCGCGGATCAATTGGCGAATACGAGGTACATAACTCATGCATGGAAGGTTGGAGTGGAGCTAGAACAGACAACAGACAGAGGTTTTATTGAAAGAACTATCAAAAGGGTCATGGTGGATGATGAAGGCAAGGAAATTAGGCAGAAAATGACAGAGCTGAAACAGAGTTTGGAAGTTTCGATACAGAAGGGCGGGAGTTCTTGCAAGTCATTGGATGACTTGACAGAGTTCATCTGCTCATTCCCATTGATCAATTGATGAAGACTTTCTGATCCATTAAGTGTATAATGTTATGCAAGTAGCAGAAAGATAAGTAAATAAAAGAAAAATAAGAACACGCCACTCATAATTTTTATTTTTTTTTCCCTTCCCCCTGCATCTGGCAATGATAGTTGGGATGTTTCGGCTGGCATTTACTCCTTCTGTCCCAAAAAAATAATTCATAATTCATAATTCATAGTACCATGTACAAACTATAAAGTAAACTATTTTTCTCGGACGGATAATTCTTTTCTCTGTCTTTTATTTTTTCCAGCATCCAGCTATGATGGAGTATAAAAAATTGCGATGATTTCATTAATGATGACATTGAGCAAAGCATGATGATGAAGACAGTGGATATGTTTAGCGCCAAATATAAGTTTGTAATATTTAACTAAGCTCATAGCCTCAATCACAAGAAGAAAAGTTTGAATGTTTTCATGCAATCTTACATACTTTTGTAAAGAGATAGGACTTGGTTAGTTTGTGCAGCTGTGTCAGACTCCAGAGTTGACCCTTGCTGCTGTAGTTTAAGCAGTGTATCACTTTCGAATAACATAATTGATTTGTATAAACTTTTTCTGTCCCGATAAGACAATCATTTTGGGACAAAACAGGAAAAGAATGCCTACTAAGAAAGTCGAAGCATGTTGCAAAGATTCAACAAGAAAAATTTTCTAGCCAAAAATATGTGCAGGCTAGAAGAACAGCGCAGATTACGGTTTTTTTTTTTTTTTTTTAAAGGATCAAATGAATGAGGATTAAAATCAGGATCCAACGATTCTATTGAGGCGAGAGAGATGGTGGAATCTTCCGCTTCTCTTCCGTAGCAAAGCCAGAAATGTTCAGAAATCCAGGTGGGCAGCAGTATTAATTCAAGCACAAGAAGTCTAGGTAGAAGAATATCACCCACCATCTTTTATTGCGTGAGAACTTTAAGGATTTAGGAAAGGGAAACGAGAGAAAAGAAAATATGGAGAAGCAACTCATAGAGAAAGCCCAATCGACTGGTGCTACTTATGTAATCCAACTTCAAAGGGCACATTAATCCAATGCTTGATCTTCCCAGTGTTCTTTACTCCAGGTGGTTTTCCCATCACAATTGCCAGTGTTCTACAACAAAGACTTCTCCAGGAGTTCAATAAAATAAATGAAAAAGGAACAGAGAAAGGAAACGGAAGAGACTACAAATTTCCTGTCCATGCTCATTTTCTCTCTTCTTAAAAGCCTAAACACCCTTTCGAAAACCTTGACCCACCGAAGCCTGTATTTGTGGAGGTACATTAAGTTAAATTTCAATTATTCCACATTTCACTTGGTTTGAAAATTCAAGTCTGGAGTTTACCGAACAACGATAACCAAAAGAATAAATATAAATAGGAGGAGACGCAAAAACTAACAAATCTACAAGGCATCAGACCACTAGGATTGCTCTTCGGCTTTTATCATTAGACAGTGTCAATCCCCGAGCTTCGTCAAACATGAGGGCTTTGCGGAAGCTACGAGATCTTTCCATGCTACGAAAATGAGCTTCGTTGCAGCTACCCATGTCTTGCCACCCTCCCCCAAAGTGCTGCTTTTGAAACTTTACTATATCATCATTCGAGACCACCCGTTTAACGCCGGTTTCTCCAACATGGAAGACTAGCATACAGGAAAAAAAGAACACACACATCAGCAGGGACGAGCCGTGATGGAACCAGCCCTCAATATTTACAGGGTCGAAGTACATATATAAACTTTTTTAAAAAAATATTTTAAAAATTATAAGGTAATTTTTCTAAAAAAATTGCCGACCGACCACCCTCGCTCCCCCCTGGTTCCGTCCCTGGGGACGAGGGGTGTGAGTAAAAATAATTGTACAAACGGAAGAGGGGAAAAAGAACTGACGCTGGTGGGTACCGGTAAAGGAGTATTCTTTACATCCATTGTTCCCGCCTTCAATACAAGCACACAAACAAAGTAATCAAACGAAATTCTATGTAATGGAAATTCAAAAAGGAAATCGAAACAGCAAAACGAGATCCACGGAAGAGAAGTGAAGAGAATTCTAAAGTGGCTGAGAGTTTCATCTTTTCGGCAATAGTAGGCAAGGGTTAAGGTCGGTCCATTGGAAAATTGTATCAATCGTTCTCACCTTCAAACCGATCAAATCAAACAAAATCATACTGAAAACGAAACAGAGTTTGATTTAACTGATGTATGTGAATTCTTGCCCTAATTTTTCCGAATTGTATCCAAGATATACCTTAGCTGATTATACAACAATATAAATCCACCCAGAGTTCGACCCAAAAAAAAAAAAAAACAAAGAAAACAGCAAAATGAACCTGATTCGATGAAGAAAACCAGAGATGATTTACCTTCTTCGCCGACTTTCGACAAGTTTTCTTGCGCGTCGTGTAAGGAAATCCAGGCTCAAGGAGTGCTTCTTCTCTTATTCATTTCTTATTATGTTCGTGACCGTTTAAACGATTGGTAACTATTTGTCTGAATTAGATAAGCTCCATGACCACGGTTCATAAATTGGACAGGAACTGAATGCCGGTTTATAAAAATGTGATCAAACTGTCCAATGAACAGCTAAACCTTTGATTAACCTCAAATTGACGATTTTGAGTTCAAACCTTCAAAACCCGCTGGTTAACTGTTGATTTAGTTAACACAATTATAGGATATGCTCTCTTCTCCCAAAAAAATAGCCGATGTTTAGATTTAAAGATTTGTAGTGTCTTTATCACAAGTCTCAAACTATTTTTATGGAACGAACGGAGCATGATTGTCTGGCTTTCTGTCTAGGCCTCTTGGAAAAAAAAAAAAAAACCTACAGGAATCGCGTGCATCATCGTCTGAGCAATTCCAGCGGCGACCTGGTTGGAGCTTTTTTCTTATTAAGAAGCTTGCAATTCCTCTTGAGAAACCATTTATTTATTTTATTTTACTCCCTCCGCCTGAAAAAAAAAAAAACCCATTTGCCCCAATAAAATAATTAGGTGGAGTATTTTTTTTAGGACAGAGGGAGTAGTACAAGCTGTAAATTTATGAATTTTATTATTTTTAATATAATTTAGAATTTATAATGTAGACTATTTTTACTGTTTTTTTATGGGACAATTCCTGCATTACAGTAATATGTTTGGCCAATAAAAGGCGCCAAAACTGCAAACCATATATAAGTATTTGGTGGATTATATTTATTCAATAATTTTGGGACATAGATAGTACTCCCTCCGTCCCATAATTATTGTCCAGTTCAAATTTTTATTTCTAGTTCAAATTGTACTAAAAGTGAAATCTCAAACTGGACAATAATTTTGGGACAAAGGGAGTATTTTTTATGTGGACTATTTTTTTGGGAGGGTGAAAATTTTAAGAATTATACAAGAGACAAGATATTCTCCTTTCATTTCAAAATCTCGACATATGGTAGGAACTAGCAAGTAACTTGTAGCTCGTACGCAAGGGAATCTGAAAGATCGAGGTAGGAGTGAACAAGAATTTTCTTGTGTACACACTTTCCCTTCGACCTTTTGGTTGAGTCCTGGATGTGCTAACTGCTAACAATGGAAAATGGAATTTCATGTTGGTTTGGATACAAATTTATAACAATAATAATCCAACAGAATAAAACAAATTGTTAAGATTGAAGGTTATTAATGTTGACATGAAATGTTGTATAGCAAATGCGAATCTGAAACCAAACTATTTTCGTGTACTTGAACTATATATGAGAATGCAAACTCTTTGGCCTTTATAGGATAGTGCGAAAATTCCCCGTAGAATGGCCTGAAAGAAACAAAGTCGACCATATCAAACATCCCAAATCACCTGAGGTCAGCAGATTTTCTCGGTCACTTGCACTTTATTTGAAGTGTTAGAACCGATCCCAAGAAAACAGCAATCTATGTATGTCACTAAATCCCACATTTTGTTTTACCCTTTTTAGACTTTTAGTGGATATATGCGGAGATCCATTCTTCATCTCCGAATTTAATCATTTGCCAAATGCCCAAATCATTTCCAAACAAATTCGTGATGTTCCCCTCCCATCTGATCATCATTAAGGCAGACACTAATTGCAGGTGTTGAAGAAAAAAATCAGAGGTCAAAGTTGAATTTCAACAAAGACAACGACCCGGCATATTAGTTGAGAAAAAGAATACAGAATGGTTGGTTCTACGTTTGGATTATAATGACTTCTATTGCATCGATGGCTTTTGACCTCATACATTATGTACTCAAACTTCAATTGGAAGTACCTTTTTTTGGACCTTAGCCAACATCCTGCAGTTCCTTTTTTTTTTTTCTTTTGACATTAAGGGATGGGTAAGCCTTTAGGAACAGAAAAGCCTTTGAATTAGACGATTACGGGAATGTGAGCTCCCTAATTACTACTACAACTTAATTCTACTTGGAGGATCTTTGTAGCCACATTACATGTTGAGTCCGCCAATAAGAGAATCCAAGGGCCGGGAAACAGAGACATGTTGAGTCCACATTACATGTTGAGTCCGCTAGTTAGTCGTGTTACCTGTCATTTGGGAAACAGAGACAACTTGTCGTCGACGACAAGAAACAACGGGCATATCACGTAAACGGATGAAGATGTAGAAAAGGAGCTTGCTCCATTTTCTTCTGGAGATTGAACAATTGTCAAAAGAGACAAGACTTTCAAGTCCATTGTTATGTCAGTTCCCAAGAGAACTAATAATTTGGATAGATTGATGACGAGACTATGAAAATTTGACTTGTATTGTTCACCTATCAAACTACTACAATATGATATGATTGTGGTGTATTCGTATACAAGGAAATAATCTAAATATGCGATATTATACCCTTAGCTACTCACTTAATTACAAAATAGCAATTTACATTTAATCCCATGATCTTGGGACATTTGATCTTATCATTATATTAATGTAAATAAAGTATTCTTGATCGTTCTCAAGTCTCAAGTCTTATCATAGCTCGTTGCGGCTGCAAATTTGGTCCGAGGACATTAATAAGGAGACAAAGCCGTCTAAAAAGCACATAAGATAATGAAAATGAGGTCACAAAAGTGTCACGTTTCCAGCAAAAAGAAAAGGTAATTCTTGTTTAAGTCGTCAAATATTGGGCTGTCAGCCGTCTTAGCCTGAGCTATTCACAGTTCATCATCCCGCATTATCTATATATATAATTATCAAGTCAATGGAAAGCAGTCGAATTCCAAGTTCAGAGATAAGGAAATGGCGAAACTTAGAGTGAAAAAACGTAGTGTTGTTTTAATCCCATACACTTACCAAGGCCATGTAACACCCATGCTTCAGCTTGGGAAAATCCTTCATTCTAAAGGGTTCTCTGTCATTGTAGCTCACCCGGATTTCAATTCTCCAAATCCTTCAAATCACCCCGAATTCGTCTTCCTTCCATTGGAGGCCAATTTATCTGGTTTGGACACCTCAAATGATATCCTCGGAGTGATGTCGGCGATGAACCAGAGTTGCAAAGCTCCCCTGGTGGATTACTTGGTTCCAATGATCAAGGATCAAGAGAAGTATGGTCAAATAAGTTGTATTATCTATGATATCCTTATGGGCTTTGGGAACTCTGTGGCTGTTCAGTTAAAGATTCCCAGTCTGGTTCTAAGCACCTGTAGTGCATTTTACATGCAAACTTATCGCATCGTCTTGAAACTTCAGGCACAAAATCAGATCCCTTTGCGAGGTACATCCTTCCGTCCCGATATGATTGTCCAGTTTAAATTTTCATTTTTAGTTCCAATTGTACTTATTAAAGGGAAAATGCAAATAGGACAATTATTTTAGGACAAAGGGGTATATTTTAATGATTATCCATTTTTTTCAGTACCATTCCATTTTCTTGGTGACATATTTCTGATAATAAAAACTTGCTACTTTTCCACTTGCAGAGGCGAAGATGTTGGAGCCAGTCCCTGAGCTCCATGCACTTAGGTACAAGGATTTAGTCGCACCTGTTAATGTTAAAATTGATGATGTAGTCATGGATTTCTTCACGGCAATGGCTAATATAGGGTCCTCTGTTGGCATCATTTGGAACACGGAAGAAGGTCTTGATCGCTTCGCATTGGAAGAATTCAGGCAAAGTTACAAAGTTCCATCTTTTCCCGTAGGTCCATTTCACAAGATGGTTAACACCAATTCATCAACAAGTTACCTGGAAGAAGACAGAAATTGCATATCATGGCTGAACAAGCAAGCTCCTGATTCTGTTCTCTATGTAAGCTTAGGAAGTATGACAGTAATTGAAGAGGAAGAACTGAAAGAGACAGCTTGGGGATTGGCGAATAGCGGGTTGCCATTTTTGTGGGTTATTCGGCCTGGATCGGTTAATGGTTCTGAATGGATTGAACTCTTGCCTGAAGGTTTTCAAGATGTAATAGGAGAAAGAGGTTACATTGTGAAATGGGCACCTCAGAAAGAGGTTCTTGCACATTCTGCTGTGGGAGGATTTCTGTCACATTGCGGTTGGAATTCGACACTGGAGAGCATATGTGAAGGGGTTCCATTGATCTGCAGACCACATTTCGCTGATCAATTGGCGAATACGAGGTACATAACTCATGTGTGGAAGGTTGGAGTGGAGCTAGAGCAGGCAACAGACAGAGTTGTTATTGAAAGAACTATCAAAAGGGTCATGGAGGATGATGAAGGCAAGGAAATTAGGCAGAAAATGAAAGAACTGAAACTGAGTTTGGAAGTTTCGATGCAGAAGGGCGGGAGTTCTTGCAAGTCATTGGATGACTTGACAGAGTTCATCTGCTCATTCCCATTGATCAATTGATGAAGATTTTCTGATCCCTTAAGTGTATAATGTTGTGCAAGTAGCCGAAAGATTTCTAAATAGAAGAAAAATAAGAACACCCCACTCAGATCATAATTTATTTTGCGAAAAGATTCAATAATTATTGTGATTTAATATCGACTAAAATGTATAAAGTATTGAGATGATTATATCAATGATGAAAGTAAGCAAGCATTATGATAAAGTGTGGCTGTGATATGTTTAGGTATAGCTTTGTCTTATTAGCTGAGTTCATAGCCTCAATCAGAAGAAGAAAATGTTGAAACTTTGGATAATTTTCATGCAATCTGACATAGTTTTGCAAAGATATAGGATTTTTTAAAAAACAAAATTTGTGCAGCTGTGTCAGACTCCAAAGTTTGACCCTTGCTTTCTTTAGTTTAAGCAGTACATCACTTTCGAATAAAGATAACCGGTTTGAATATATTACTTCTGTCCCAATAAGATAATCATTTTGGGACGAAAGCTGTAACACTGTAACATTATTCTTCTTAGATTAGATATGAACAATAATGCTTATTGATGTTACATCCCACCATTTTTCGCTTTTCGTAGCAGTTGAGATTGACAAGCAAGTAATGCTACCAATGAGGTGGAGGGGGACCGAATCAATAGGCACAGACCAATTCTGTGATAAAAGCCAAGACAAATAGGACAAGAATGCTTACTAAGAAAGCCGGAGCACGTTGCAAAGGTTCAACAAGAAAAGTTTTCAAAACATGTGCAATCTGGGAGAACAGTAGATTGTGGCATTTTTAATATCAAGCAGATCGTATTCTGAGGATTAAATTCAGGATCTAACCATTCTAATGAGGTAAAAGAATATTTGTCAATCTTTTCTTGCCTGAGAACTGAAGGATTAAGAAGGCAAAAACAGAGGAAACAGAATATGGAGAAACAACACGAATCGAAGCGGAATCGATTGGTGTTAGTTATGTATCCACTTCAAGGGCACATGAATCCGATACTTGATCTTGCTAGTGTTCTTCACTCCAGGGGGTTCTCCATCACAGTTGCTCATACCACTCTCAACCCTCCTGATCCTGCCAGTTTCCCTGATTTTACGTTCCTGCCGATTTCGGATGGAATCTCAACCTGGGATATTTCCCCATCGAATCTTGTAAATCTAGCATACACCATCAACAGAAACTGCGCAGCTCCGTTCAAGGGATGCTTGAGTCAGATCATACATCAGGAGGAACAACACGGGCGGGTTGTTTGCGTTATCTATGATTTTCTCATGCATTTTGCGGAGACAGCGGCAAACGAATTCAATCTCCCGAGCATCATTTTCAGGACTAGTAACGCCGCCGCGTTGCTAGCCTTCTGTACCATGGCTGAACTTAGTGCACAGGGCCAGGATTTCATCGCACGAGGTACGGTTACTAATACTCTTTTACTTTAGGGATCAAGTCAGAGAACACCTTGACCAACAGACTCGCATTTGGTTCCGTGGATGAGCTAGTTTAGATCTACAACGTTACTGTATTCCTTCGTCCCAAAATACTTGTCTTGTTTATTATACTAAAAACTGGACAATCATTTTGGGATGAATGGAATTCAATATTTCATATAACGAATCATATGAGAGGGCTAAGCTTTCATTCTTGCTGACCTGAAAACAATCTTTACTTATATGGCTAGATCTCTTTCGTTGCCTTTCCATAGCTTTCTCTTCTTTCTTTTTTTTGGGTAAATTCTTTGCAAAAGCTTCAAGTTAGCTACGTATTTCTAAACGATTTCTGTTCATCGATACTAATGATTGGAATCATGAGTAAATGGATATTTCAGATTAGTATGTACTCCCTCCGTCCCATTATTATTGTCCAGTTTGGATTTTCATTTTTAGTTCAAATTGTACTAAAAGTGAAATATCAAAGTGGACAATAATTTTGGGACAGAGGGACTATTAAGATTTTGTTCCTGAAACACCCAATTGATAATGCAACCTTGATTTGCAGACTCTCCATCAGATGACTTAGTTCCAGGACTATTCCCATTAAGGTTCAAAGATCTGCCTATTTCCAGTATGGGAAGCTTAGAGAAATTCTCTCAACTCCTTGCAGTTGTATGCAGCTCGAGATCATCATCAGCAATCATTTTCAACACGACGGATTGCCTGGAAAATTTTCCATTGACACAGCTACGGCGACACTATCAGATCCCTTTTTTCCACTTAGGCCCATTGCACAGAATGGCTCCTAAAAAACCAACCAATTTAGTCAAGGACAAAAACAACTGCATAAAATGGTTGGAAAAGCAAGCTAGAAACTCTGTCATTTATGTCAGCTTGGGAAGCATTGCCACCATGGATGAGAAAGATCTAACCGAAATGGCCTGGGGACTCGCGCTTAGCGAGCAACCATTCCTGTGGGTTATCCGGACTTGTGAGTCAGAGAAGAAACAATTACCAGAAGGATTCCATGAACTTGTCGGAGAAAGAGGTTGCGTTGTAGAATGGGCGCATCAAATAGAGGTATTATCGCACCCTGCGGTGGGAGCATTTTTCACACATTGCGGGTGGAACTCGACATTGGAGAGTATATGTGAAGGAGTGCCAATGATATGCAAGCCGTATTTTGCAGACCAAACCGTAAATGCAAGATACCTGACTCATGAATGGGGCTTAGGCATTGAATTGGGAAATGTCATCCAGAGAACAGAGATTGAAAAAGCTGTAAGACGAATTCTAGTGGAAAATGAAGGTGTAGAAATGAGACAGAAAGCAATCTCTCTCAGGGAACAAATCAAGAAATGCATAAAGGAAGGTGGTTGTGCGAACAACTCTCTGAATGAGTTTGTGCAGTTCTTATCATCCTTTTCAGAGCTCTAAAGGCTTTCCCGTTTTGTGAGGGGCGGAGAGGGACATTTTTGTACATAACCTTACCTTAATATATGTTTCCAAACCACTATTTCCGTCTTATCGGCCGACCTTGCCGTCGGCGAATTTTTCCAAAAAAAAACCTTAAATCTTTTAAAATAATTTGGGAAGTTTTTTTAGTTTTTTTACATGTATTCAACTCTATGAATCTTCGGGGCCAATTTGGTCACTGCTGGTATACCATCTCAAATTCTCTATATTTAAAAAACTGGGCATGGAGCAAACTTAAATACTTTGGCCAGTTGTCCCACCCATCGAGGTGCCTACAATTCAGCGAGAGAGAGAGGGTAGAACATCGATAAATTAATAATGTGTAAATTAATAATTTTTAGCAATTAATAATTTCTTTCAAACTTAAATTAGGATCAATACAAAGAGTGAAAGAAATCGATAAAATGATAAAATAATAATGCCTCGCATATATATCTATAGGTCCAAGTAATAGTATAAATTAATAATAACTATAAATATTTAGTATAATATGAACTATTGATACTTATTTTTTAATCCCTAGAGGTGGCATGAACTAAGTATAGATATTTAATATTATGAAAGATTTTAACAATTGATTGCAAATTATGTAATCGAGTGATAGTTCTTTTCTTGTCTTATAAATTCTTTAAATTAATTATTTATTAATTTATCGATTAATTTTAACAATTGATTGCAAATTATGTAATCGAGTGATAGTTTTTTTTTTGTCTTATAAATTCTTTAAATTAATTATTTATTAATTTATCGATTACTTAATAATTTTTTAAATTAATAAATTTTGGTGATTTCAACACTATTAATTTATAGAAGTTGCCTATTATTTTAAATTAATAAATTTTGGTGATTCCAACACTATTAATTTATAGAAGTTCTAATGTATATAAGGCCTATTATTATCCTCATTCTGCCGATAACCATTATGTTTTGGTTTTTCTCCACATTCTTATGGGGTGATTCAGGAATTTGCCTATTATTTTTTCAATTGATATTTCAATATAGAAAGTTCATTTTATTTCTTCACTGTACGCGTCATTTTTTTAAGAGATATTAGTATGGTGCCCGCACTTTGCGTGACAGATTTTAGATATTCTTATATCGTAAAAATGTAAAATATTATAATTTTTCTATAAACGGTTTCTTAAGTTATACTCCTTCCATCCCGAAATTTTTGTGATTTTCATTTCTATTGTGAATTGTGCTAAAAGTGAAATTTCAAACTGGATAATAATTTTAGAATAGAGGGAGTATATCAATAAAGCATACATATTATTATATGTACAATTTTAAAAGCATAGATTTAATTCATAAGAAATCATTCTTCCACTTTGTCCTCCAACGGTTCATTAAGCCATTGGAAATGATTACATTAATTAATTGGGAGCACACTTATGTGCGTACTATCTATATGTCTGTAATCACTTCTTCTTGGTCCCTTCTGGTTATAATCACATAAAACATCTAAGCTAACTTCCGAAGAGGGCTTTTGATCACGTTAACTGCAAGAAATCAAAATAAGTTCAGGATGCAATCATATGATTTTTACAATGAGAAAAACAACCTACTTTTTGAGTGTTATTATTAATGATTCCGGTGATAATCTGTCCAAAAAAAAAGAAAAAAAGAAAAAAGAAGCCATGATACTTGCTCCAATCGAATCCTGCAAATCAAAATTTGTTTTTCAACTAAACCTAAAATAATAAATTTTCTCAACCTAAAATACTAAACCAGAATACTTGAAAAGTTTAGTTATTGGATGAAGAAGGTATGAAGGATTGACATAAGAATTAGAAACTGGATAAAGCATTGACATCAAAGTTTTCTCTATATTTATATCCCTGAACATTGTTAAGGAAAACAACTTCCAAGCACCATTAAACATAGCCACCCGGAACGGAATAGTGGAACTTGTAGAGACCTGCCTTGAGAATTTCCTTGACCTATTTTGAAAATAAATACATGTGGCTGTGAAGCATCGATAACACAAGATTATGCAAGTACTCTAGATGAAAGAACAATATATGCGAATTAAATCTAAGAGAAGGAATCGACAAAGAATTACCCGCAAGTATGATTTCATCAATAGGTAATAACACGACAACTGCAAAAACGCGTGATCGCAATGACGAGTAAAACCTTTAGCCCGCCAATACAAATAAGCAGACATAGACATCGGCGCATTAGGTTTCCCAACGACAGCGCTGCGCCGGCAACAAAAATCGATCATGTTAAAAATTGATCACGGCCGATAACAAAAATTATTCCAACAACAATATATTGGAGGCCAAAATACACAACAAATCATACACCTTTGGCACAAGACACACGACCGAAACTAAAGAAATCAACAAAATTGCGAGATCAATAAAAATACACTACCAATTAATGAATTTTTTCCTTAAATATATATGAAAAAAAAACCTGGACAAAAATAAAGCTTTTTAAAATCTTGTGAACAAAATTATATGCCCCGGATTTAGGAAATCCGAATGGGGCCAAAACTCGGATTTCGGAAATCCGACCCCTAATCAACTCGGATTATTAAAATCCGACTTTGTATTACGTAAATCCGATATTAAGTTAATGACAAAAATTAGTGTAATTAATCTAAATCCGGATTTTATAAATCCATTTCTATGAATAAAATATTAATTTCCGGATAGAGAAAAAATAATGTGTTGAAAAATTAAATTTGGGCGTAACTCGGACATCAAATCCGAACCGCTCTGTTTTCTGAAAAATGGTGACTCTCAGTTGGCCACCGACTCGGATTTCCGAAATCTGAATCCTTTACAAAAAGTCTGGGTTCGGATTTCGCAAATCCGAGTCTTTGTCAGAACTGAAAGAAAAAATTGGACTGATTTTCACCAGTCCTAAACCTGTTTACAGTACCAACAACAATGAAACATTGGAAAACAGGAATTTAATAACAACAAAACAATAAACGACATTCGATTAACAACAAAATAAATCAAGTTTCATAAAAAGTTCAATACAAAAACTACTATAAATGTGCAACATAATGAAATGTCTCATTTTTTCCCTTTTCCTTTATTGTGCGCATCCGGAGTGTATTTATTTGGGCCCTGTCAGATCCTGTCTCCCCTCTTAAGATACGTGAGTATTGAACTTTGTTGTGGTTGCGACTATCCACCAAACTGAGCCTCGATTTGGGGTTGGGATTGGGACTCCCCGATGGTGATAAATTTGACTCCCCGTTGTGGTTGCGACTGTCCACCAAACTGAGTCTCAGGTCCACCAAGGTCAAACTGAGTCTCGGGTCCACCAAGGTCAAACTGAGTCTCGGGTCCACCAGCTTCTTCAAAATGAGTCTCGACCTGGATGCGCGAGTCTCGAGAGGAATGTTCTTGATCCTCATTTTGTTGACCCTCAGTTTGTTGTTGCGATGTCCGAGGGGGGATTGTGACCTTCCTCTTTCTTCCTCCTCCAATCTTATCTCTCGACCACGGTTTCGCTTTTTTACCCTACTTAAAAGGAGGTTGTGAGGGCAAAAATGGATCTTCATCAACCAGGATTTGGGTATCCTCCACCTCCATCTCATCATTTGCGCCCAAGGTTAAAGCAGCATGTGTTTGATTGATGATATCGTCCAAATGCTTGTCAAGTTCTTCGTCTAGGAGATTATCATCTTCTCGTTTTTCTCTAAACCTCTCGGTACTCACGCGAATATTGTTCAATACTTCACCCTGAAAAGAAATTGGGACGTTAATTAAGAGAGTAAAGTTCTAAAAAAATAAAAAATGAAAAAAAAATAAAAACATAAGAAATAATAAAAGAAATCTAGAATTAACTCACATATAATTTCACGCGGCTCGAAGAAGTCTCGTATCCTTGAGATTCATAATTACCGGGATTGGATATCAGTCTGACAATGTTCACCATGAACCATTCATAGTACCCCTCTGGTAAGCTTGTCGAGGCACCCAAAAATTAATCCGATAATCCTACCGAACTACAAATTTTGCAGTAGTAGCAGTACCAGGTCGAATCCCAAAGGAGCTAGATTTTTAGTTCTTAGTTTGACAATGTCCAAAAAGATTTTGTTTGTTGATTTACTAACTACTGAGACAAAATAAAAATTACAAATGTTAAAAGCAAGGATAGGTAAACCAGGAGAAAATTCAATATCACAAAGGCTCTGACTCAAGGAAGGGATCATCCAATTATTTCACAGATCATTGGTAACTAAAATTATTCTTGCAGTTCGAGCACTCAAGTTTAAGCATACTAGGATAGCCCGTAGTAAACATAAAATTCTCCTAAATTAACTAACCAAACCTAGCATTTAGTTAGCGCTTATCATTAAACGCTGGACACGATAGCGTTCCATACAAATCAATGATAACAGTAAAAACCAAGGAAATATGCTTGAAACACAATTCAAAATTATTGAGATAGCTACAATAAATTAAATTATGATTTGTCGATCCTACTCCTAGGCATACAAAAGCATCCAAGTCTCACAAATACCAATGGTCCACCTAGTTGCTACTAAATTCCAATGGTTCGTGTCAAATACGTAACATACAACCAAATGATAGCAATAAAAAGAAAATACACAACCAAGTTGTCAATTTAATTGGTATTCACTCTCATAAATTTAAAACAAGAATAAACAAATAACTCAAATCATAGACAAGATTAAATTAAAACCAAAACCTCACATGTAAAATAATTGAATTAAATTCCTTGAATCAGAATCAAAAGGTTTAGCTACTCATAATCATGGACATGATAGCTAATTTATTCATAGAAAAATAGTACCAAGTCTAGAAGAATTGAAAACCCAGAGAAACGGAGACAACCCTGACCTCCAAAGCCAAAAGAAAAAGCTGCGCACTTTTGTTGTTTTTTTGAACAAAAAAAACGACGACTAAAACAAGAAAAACCTGCGGCCTTTATATAGAATTAGGTCAGCCGCAACTATTAAAACAAGGGTCAAAATTGCAGAATTGGTCCTCTAACTTTTCAGCCTCTCAACAATTGGTCCAAACTTTCTTCAATGATAAAATTCAGTCTATAAAGTTTCTTATTAGCAGCTTCTTCTCCCAACAACTTCAATATTTTGTAATTAGGTCCATCATTGGAGTAAACTTCTCCCTTTGCTTAAGTTGGATGATTTTTTTCAGTCCCTTTTTGTATCAATTAGCTCCAAAAAGTAGCAACCTCCGATTTCCAGTTCCTAACACAAAACATTAATAAAACTTAATGAATTAAAACCATCCAAGTCCATAAACTCATAAAATAATAACAATTAAAGCATAATTTATGGACTCTATCACCCTCATATACGGAACCAGGATCTCCTTCCTCCAAATCTCGTATCACGAACTCTTCTCTCCTATTCCAATGACGGCGTACTGCGGAATGGTGATCCACCCAATTATTGCTAGGATACCCAGACATACTGTGGGCGTGATCGAGAAGGAATGCTGCGTTATCTTTAATCATGGGGCGCTTGGGAACATCCTGTATGTATCCAAATTGTCTTACGACTCTGCCCGACTCGTGGGATTCCCTAATAGCCCAACAGAACATCCAACACCTAGTCTTCCAAATGGCTTGGCCTTGTGTACAGAAATCAGGGAGTCTATAGAGGACATATGCATATGGTTGCCACCGAAACTGCACGAAAAGAATTTCATTAGATGGTACAACCGAAACCAAAAGAAAGGGGTAATTGATCTCAAAGTAAATATAAACACCAAATTACAAGTACTTACATCTTCAACACGCAGACTTGTTAATTAATCTCTAAAAGGTGGAGTGCTGCTCCTTGGGGCGTCGCCGTACGTGTACCTACATTCCCACCTTAATAAACAAAGGGGTACATTTGAATTAATGAAATAAATGAATAAGAAACAAATAGAATTAAACGTTGAGTTATTTTGAACTGAAAATACGTACCGCTGAGCTAATGGAGCGGTCTCATCAATCAAATAATCCACTCCTTTTCTTTGGGGCGCGATCCTCTCGATCCGCTCATACGCCCATACCTAGTAAATTGCAATAATAATGTAAAAACTTCAAATTATAACGTCGAAAGCGCAAAATAATTAAAACACAAAATGAAAACTAATACGTACCTGTAGCAAATATAGACACCCAGTGGCGTCGTGCATGGTATACTGTGATGCCTCGCATAGTCCAGAGTACAACCCAGCCAGCAGTGCCGATCCCCAACTGTATCGACTACACTGATCCAAATCCTCAACCTGGGCCAAGAATTGTAGATTGACAGTGTTCTGCGTCTTGTTCGGAAACATGAAACTGCTAATAAAATGCAGTATAAGTGTCCTGGCCCTTTGCTCGAATCGATGGACAGTGAAATTTTCAGGTAGTGCACGGCCCATCTCATCTTCGAAAATACCAACATTGATACATCTCCAATTGGCATTATGACCTAGTTTTCCACATCTCCAACATTCCCCCCGGCTCCGGCGTCCCCTGTAATCCATTTGCATTTTATGTCTCCTTTTTTGTCTTCGTCCCGGTCCCGCATGCAACACAAGACGCTCATAATTCGGAATAATGTTCCAATTGACCATCGGCCATTGTTCCTCATCGGGAACCGGAACAAAGCCCGTGTAATGAAATTGTCTGCGCCACGTTGGAAGGCGCCACACACTATGGTATAGATCAATAGGCCGATCCCCTTTTCTCCGACAAACTTGGAGTGCGTGCGTACAAGGCATCCGGTACTCTTGCCACTTCCTGCACGAACACCTATGTTCATCATAGTTCACCGTATGCAGAGACCCACCCCCGCCACTTAGGCGTGTGGCGTGAACAACACGCCACATAGCATCATCACCATCGAAAGGGTGGCTTCAAAACTGGCTGCTTTATCATTCATTTTCTCGTATTTTTCCATAACTCAGAGGGATCGGTGTCATGCAATTTCTCGCAGACAATTGTTCTTCTCTATAGAATTTAACAGCTTTGCAAAAGGTTGCATCGATCAAGGCTCTAATTGGTAAAAACGGATCCCTTTCAACGCATTGTTGTAACTCTCAGAAATGTTGGTTGTCGCTATGCCCCAACGGCGAAGACCGGCTTTCAATCGAGCCCGATTACTCCTCCAATCCTCGAAGATACTCCCATGCAGCAGGTTTGAATTCAATAAGCTCTGCCCTCATACGGTTGTATTTCACTCTTGAAAGCGTCGTGCCCATCTTCCAACATAACCGCTTCACCTTTTTGCTATTATATCGCGACACAAGATTGCTTCGAACGTAGTGGAGGCAAAGAAAGTGCCCACCATCACCTAAATCACGCCATTCATCCATCTGTGACATTGCGCTCAACAACCCTGCATTCCGGTCGGATATCACACTTACGATTCTATCATACACAACCCACAACCTCAAATTCCTCATAAAAAATGTCCAACTCTTTACTGTCTCCTCATCAACAATCGCAAATGCAACCGGTAAAATGTCCTTGTTTGCGGTATAGACCACCGCAACAAGCAATTTACCCTTGTATCCACCACGCAAAAAGGTTCCATCGATACAAATGACCGGTGGACATTCAAAAAACGTCTCAGCCACCGGTGCAAACGACCAGAAGACGTATTTAAATGTTCGGTTTCCCATGTTCCAACCTTCTTGTCCCTCCTTCCATTCCCACTCTACTACAGTCTCAGGATTAGTAAACTTAAGCGCAGCGATATACCTAAACAACAACAAGTCATTGTTAAAATATTTCAATACATGTAAAAATAAAAATACTAAAAATATTTCAATACACGGATAAAAGTTGATATTTACCGTGGAAGTTCTTCAAAATTGGAGGTCCAATCACCATAGACCGCTTCTATGGCTTTCCTCCTCCCGTGCCACGCCCTTTTGTATGGGACATCTACTTTCAATAAGGTCTTCACATCTTTCTGTGCCGAGGCTACCGTAGAATCTACGTTGTCCTCAACTTTTCTCCTGATGAGTCTAGCAATCAAAGACGCGTCCACACACCGATTGTCATTATCATTCACTGGAGTCATGCAATTATGTGCATCATGCCATCTCACAATTTCATGAAGGCCGTGAGCTTTCAATGACACACGCATCTTCCACTCACATGGTGGTTCACCATTCTCACTTTCCACATTAAATGTTCTGCACCACACAGCCCACGTCCTTGGACTACTCGCGGCGACCGTATATTCCCTTTTATGATGGATGTTCCATAATTTCACAGCATGCTTTGCTTCTGATTGAGATTTGAAACAAACACCAATGTCCATTCCTTCGGGCGTCTCATCCCACATCTTAAGAGCAAACTCATCCTTGTCTACACATGAGGCATCCCAGTTCCCCATCTTACTATATACATGGCGTCGGGCGAATAGATTACAATCCCTTTCCTCATTTTCCAACCTTTCATCATCACTTTCTTCAAAATCACTCTCTCCGGAGACATCACAGTCTTCTTCGCTTTCACTTGGAGCTATGTAGTCGGAATCCGACTCTTCCCGGTAGTCATTTTGTGCAAATAAAGGTGTCTCCTCTTCATCACGGTTTCAAGATGTACTAGCACGTTCCCCCCTTAGAAAACCACCAAATGACACGTTTTCCAAACTCGCTTCTCTTTCTTCTTGAGTGATATCTTCCAAATCTATGTATAAATCCAAACATGACATTGGATCTACACGGTTCATGAACTCTACATGCGAATCATTCTTGATCTTCACTACACGCCTACCATCGGGACTATCGAAAATCAAAGAAAGGTGGAGTTTCACGTGTGCTGGATCCCAACCAAGGGTCATACAAATCCTACTAATCAATCCCTCATATGACAACCTTTCTTCGACAAACAAACCATCATCCAACATATTCGAAAAAGTGTTGATGCTACCGTTCTCTATCACATACTTACTTGTATGATACAAATTAAGCATGTATGATACATTACGTGCCATTGATAACTGTTAAAAAAAACATCTTTAACTAATCATTTCTTAATAACAAAATCAACAAAATACACCATACATACTCCATTCATAATTCAAATAACCTATCATCTCTAAAATACACCATACACCATACACCATACATACTCCAACAAATACACCATACTAAAATACTTATAAATCAACTTCGATATCTCATGAACTACTATGATTTCTCATCTCTAACCTCAAAATCAACACCTAAAACATCCAAACAACCAACCAACATAAACCCTAATCTATCATACATCATTCTAACAATCAAAATAACACAAAAATAAACTAAATAACATGGTTTTGCAATCTAACCTCTTTCAAATAACGATTTCCACGTATCTAGAGGCAAGAATGCATCAAAAACTTCAATTTGCCCTTGTTTGAGCTGCAAAAACAGAAAATCCAACTCAGTTCTCGAATGAGAACTGCCTGAAATTTTTTTTCTTTTATAGCACGTTAAACTCGGATTTTCGAAATCTGAACTACGTTAGATTCGGATTTCATAAATCCGGATTTAGTCAATTGAGGATTATTTTATTAATTTTTTGGTCCTCTAATTTAAGGCACATGCCTACTTCCAACAACCAAAATTAAAGGCAGCTGGATTTCCAAAATCCGAATTCCTAAAACCGGATTACGGACTTCCGGTTTTTTGGATTCAAAAATTTCGCGCCGCGATTTATTAATTTTTAACTAAACTCGGATTCTACAAATCCGAGCTTTACTGTTCATTTAAGAATTTGAAAAAAACTATTATACAACAAAATTTATGAAACTATTATTTTATTATTAAGTATACATCCGGATTTGCAAAATCCGAATCTCTAATTTTAATTGGAACTCGGATTTCAGAAATCCGAGTAATATAATTCTGTCCACAAATATTCTGAAAAATTTAAATTTGTCCATGTTTATTTTATTTAATTTTTTTGGGGAAAAATCCCACCAATTAATTGGCTTACAGAGTTGAGTCTTCTTGACATCGACATGGCTTGCAAAATAAGGAAATAAGAATAGTCATTGCTTAGTGATTGTGTATGTGACTATCGTGTGCGAAATATGGTTTCTACACATATGGTATATGTCTATGGAATAAGCAAACGATTCAAACGATATATGGGCTTGCTATGTTTAGCCGTGGATCAGATAATCATCAATTTCAAGTTTGCACCTTGATTCAAGGAAATAATCTCTAATTAATCTGTTTGTTTAAATAAACCTTATCAGATCCTTAAGGAGAGAGATATATGTGAGATAACAACCAATTTCATTTTGATACTTTGAATTATTACCTTATCTATCCACAATACGATGCATCCATTACGTGTCAAAAACTCCCCAACATGAAGGAAAGCATTCTGCTTCGTCAATTATCTGATCCATTCAAATTTCATACGGAAGTCGCAGTAAGGAAGGGTTTCGGTGCATTTGCACGGCCGAGAGAGTACACTCGGTGAGGGAGAAGGACTTCAAAACACAAAGTGGTGAGGGAGAAATCATGAATTATTTTTGTGAGGGAAGAGGATTTCACCAATTATAATATAGGGATCCTAGGTACCTAGTGTGAGTCTCAGGGGACCCAAAAATGGATATCTCTCAATATTTACAGCAATCTCATTTAATTCCACATTTTGTGCGATTTATGGAATTTCAAATCCCACCATTTCCTTCTAATTTTCAGCCATTAACCATATCCATCTTCCATCCCATTCATCACAATCCGTCTCAAAAAAAAAAAAAAACTAAAAAACTCTCTACAGCGATTTGGCCAGAAAACCTCTCGTCGGCTGGATTTTTTGGGAGAAAATCAGATTGTGCATCAAATCCAGTGGAAATTGTGGAAGCATACTCTGTTCAAGATGCGATTTAAGGTAATACATGAACAAAATTCATGTACGCAGAAACCACCAATTGAGGATTCTGAACTGAACAGAAGCAGTTCGGAAAGTGAAGATGAACGAAGGTAATACTATTAATCTTTTGGACTATTGATGCATTTTTTGATGGGTTTTGTAGATTTACTGTATATGCATTCGATTATGCATATTTGTTCATCAAGTTTAAAGTTTTCTTCATATTCAACCATTGGTGTTTTTTTTTGGGTTCTGTAGATGTAAGGTATATTCACTCGATTGACGATGTTTGTTCATCAATTTTAGAGTTTTGTTCTTCTATTGGATGTTGTTTTTTTCTAAGAAATTGGTAAATTTTTGTATTATTCATCAGGTTGGTATAGTTATTCATTGTTGAAATTGTCAGATTCATCGTTTACCATAACTATGTAGTATTATTTTTTTGGTAAACTAGTACATATTTGTATTATTCATCAGTTTGGTATAATTATTCATTGCTGAAATTGTCAATTTCATCGTTTACCATAACTATGTAGTATTGTTTTTTTGATAAATTACTACATCTTTGTATTATTCATCAGTTTGGTATAATTATTCATTGTTGAAATTGCCGGATTCATCATTTACTATAACTATGTAGTATTTTTTTTTTTGGGTAAATTACTAGATCCTTGTATTATTCATCAATTTGGTATAATTATTCATTGTTGAAATTGCGGGATTCATTGTTTATCACAACTATGTGTTATTTATTCGTTAAATTTGTTCATCAATTTGGTAATTGGTATTCATCATAATTTATTGTAAAATTTCTTTTAGGATAATCATCCGTAAAGGGATGTTATTCATTCGGTCAGTAATTATTATTAATTTTCTGATTTCGCAATCCCAGATTATTCATCATCTATATATATTTATTCATTAATTCATCGAACAGTCATTCTTTAAGTTTGTGATACATCTAATATGTTGATATTAAGAAACACACTAAAAAGTTCATCACATCTGACAAGTTATTCATGGAATTTGTAAACATATTGTAGCATGAGTGAACAATATCAAACAGAATCTGAAAGAAGCATGAGCGAAAAACAACAATCAGAAGCCGAAAGAAGCAGGATATCTGAATCTGCAAAAAGACCAAACCGCAATAAGTGTAGACATTGATATAGAGGGTTATTCAGTAGTTCTATTTTTTTGGTAAATTAGTAGATCTTTGTATTATTCATCAGTTTTGTATAATTATTCATTGTTGAAATTGTCGTATTCCTCGGTTTGGTATAATTATTCATTGTTATTCATCGTGAAAGGCCTTAATGTTTGCTGGTGGTTTCTCTCCTCGGACGCTTCTAAAAAGTCAGACCCTCCTACCGAACCCGAAGAAGAAGCTCTGATTGCAGAGGTAGTAGGCGACTTGAATTTCATCCAAAATTTATTAGAAAGGAGAGAAATTGCTGGCAAAATAAACCGAAATCCGGGTACGGGGATAAACAACTAAGACAGAACAAAAAGTTTAAAGCAGCGGCCGATAGAAAAAGGCAACGACAATATGTGATTTAGGTTTTTTGTTTGAGTTCTGTTCTTTTGGGGTAATTTCTCTCTTTAAAGACTTTTTTTTTTATCTATTTATTAATCGGTTTTCATAACTAAGGTGTTCTTAAAACGTGGAATCTTTTCTTTCTCAGTTCAATTTTTGCAGAGCAAGCTTTTCTGGTGGTGGATAAAGAGTTGGTCGATGGAGAGTTGGTCATGGAGATCCTCATATTTAAGGTAAATTTAGGTATTCTTTGGTTTGGAAAAAAAATTAAAATTGCTGTTGATCTATTTTTTTTTTTTTGGAAAAAAGCGAGGTTGAACAAAGGGGATAATTAGTTAGATTTTTTTACTCATTTGGGAATAAACGGGGATCTTGGTGTATGATTGTGTTGGTCATTTTGATTCTATTTTGCTGTTTTGATTTTCTGAATTTACTTAAAAACTCAATCTTGCTGTTGTCAGTGGCATTCAAACTACGGATTTTTCTGAATTTGTAAAAGATGTCACCCTCCATTTCCAGATCATCCGTCTTCTGAAACAGGTTTGCCTACCTTTCGATTATATGAAGGCTAACTCTTTGTGAGGATTTTTTTTTTTTTTTTTGCTAAAATTTTCCTGCTCTACTATGATTGGAAATTTTACTGATGCTTTCTGCTTAGTTCCCCCTTTCTTTGCGTCTGTTCATTGCCCAAAACCTGTTCCCACTATTGTGCTTTTGCGGGGTTATGGGGTTTTGCATTTTGGGCCCTGTGTATGAGTTGTTAAGTTAATTCTTTTTTGGTTATTTGTTTTCTTTTTACATTCTTCCATGTTGTTCGTAGGCAGGAAGAAAGCTTGAATTCGTGCACTGTTGTATTTTGGTCTTACTAGCTTTACTGTATTTCGTGTTTAGTTATATGCTTGGATTGGATGCAACTCTGCTAGATTTGGACATTTGCGGCTGCACCCTAAGTTGCATTCCTTTGTTACTCACCGTTGCTATTTGTCCTCCGATGCGTTTAAATTTTCGTTTCCTGTATAATAAGCTTTTCATTTGAAAGAGCCCTTTAAGTTGTTGATCTTCTTTAGCATGATAGAATATGTGTGGACAAGCTAAACTAAGTTTAATATGATAGAACTTTGAATTGTTGAAGAATTGTGTATATTCTTTACACAGTTAAGTGGGTACCGGTGTTATCTGACACCAGTTCGTTTCAAATGATGTACAAAATAATGCAGTTAGTGTTGCTCAGTTGGTTGGAAGATCCACCGACAACACTGGAGCTGGTATTGGACGGTGAGTTGGTGATGACTTCGCAACTATAAACTAAAGTTTGATGTGATGTTTTCTTGATTACTTCGACACTTTGGTATTGTTTTGTAGTGTTGAAGACTAGTCTTAATATAGTACTGGCTTGCAGGATCCCCAAGAACAACCTTTCATTGAGGTTGATCTACCATTCATGCACCAGTCTAATCCATTTAATATATTACATGTTTCTTCAATATTATCTATCCACATTTATCTTCAATCTAGATGTCCTTTGAGTACTAATATTCTTTTTCTTGAATGTGAGGTTAGATCAATGAAGAACTTGAACATAAAGTTAGAACCATAAAGTTTCCATGATGCGGAATTATGATATTCAATCGGGTAAAGCAACACAGAAGAATAGTTTGAAAGTAAGGTTTCCATTCCTTTTGACTAAAAGGTAGAATATATAGATATTCATAGAAGGTTTTGCCAGTATTTTATGATATAAAATTGTGCTGGTTTGAGGGCTTTTTATTAGTTGAATGTGGTTATCTAAATTATATCGCTTTAGAGACCCTGGTATCTTTGATTAAATGATGATAATGGCAGATAAATTTTATGTATATGTGCCTATTTTGAGGATTATTTAGTGTATTGGCTTGGAGCATATATGAAAAGGAAAAAAAAAAAAGGGAAAAAAAGATGTTGCAACAATACTATGTTATTATTTTCCTACTTCTTCGGTTTGAGATATGAGATTTCTCCATTCTGTTTTTGAGAGAATTTTGGAAAGGTTCTGTATATTGATAAGAACTGATAATCCGGCTGTTACCATGTAGTAATTATATATACACACAACTGAAAAACCAAACTACCTGCCCTGATTACAATCAACATTTTATTCACAGCAAATGTACAAACTATAACTGTAATGGTACAAGTTCTACAGAGATATTGTCTTTAGTATTGTGGCTTCTTTGGTGTTTTTGCAGGGTTCATTAGATGAAACAACTGGAATTATTGTAGTTATGAATAGAAAAAGGGTGACCTGTTGATGGCTTGCAACAAATGACTTTTATGAGCAGTTTATTATGTCTCAAAGTTTGTCTCCAGTGTGGCATCATCAGATGCATTACTCAGCTTTGGATTTTCAAGTTTGGTGGAAGGTATCACTGGTGGAGTGAAGGAAAAAGTTAGCCTTCCTATTCAGTTAGCGAATACTTTCAGGCGTTTTAATCCATTGAACTTTGACAATTGTGTTCATAGATCAAGCAATAAGGGCTGCCAAAATGTATCTATGAACCATATTCAACTAATCAAAATCTTGCATATAGATAGGCTTTAACCGTAAGCTGATATCAATTGT